TAAGATGAAGTGATAAACTCAGAGTGGAGGGGAGAGGATTTAGAGAGACACCAGTACTCCAAGCGGCTTGGATATCCTTAAGATAGCATGAGGCAGTGCTGAGGGAGAGGTCAAGAATGCATATGGCGATACACGGCTCTGAGTGTGGATCTTAGGACGCAGCAGGAGCAGCTGGCTGAGGAATGTTATATGTGTCAGAGTTGTTTGTAATCTGTGGATTCGAAACAATACTGTGCATGCTGGAAATCGTAAACAAACCCAGAGAATTCTGGAGAAGGCCCTAGCCGCATCTGTGGAGAGAGAAACAGAGTTCCCAATCCAAGTCCAGTATGACCTTGTTTAGAAGGTTGGTCCTTACATTGCAATATGCAGGTGTCTTTCAAATGGTATAGCACTGTTGTGGAGCCAGCCCGGTGAGAAACAACAATTAAATAAGCATTCCATACAGTCAGTGAGATCTCAACTCATTATTCGGTGAATCTATCTCAGTAGCATATTAGATTAACTTGATTTATTCCTGGCAGTTTGGTACTGCACATTTTATCTTTGCTTAGATTCTGTTTCACCTTTTATTACTGCTAAGTAAAATGATTTTAGTCAGCCATCAGAGAAGGGTAACTTACTCATTAATTCTTCCAGATTTGACGAAAAATATGATAATACAGTATCTCTGCACCAATGAAAAATCAAAACTTTGTTCCATCAAATCCAAATATTTAAATTAATTGTATAATTTAAAGTACTCCTGGTATTGCTGAAATTAATCATTTGATTAGCTTAAAAGAGCAACTTTCCAATGCGCATATTACTTCTTAAAACACACTTTGAAAAGTAAGCTGAATGATAGACTTTAAAGAAAACTCGTTAAGGGCAAGGTTTTATTTAGAACTTTTTAATGATTTTATTTACTGGCTTCCATTTTACCTTAGTTAAAGAAAAATACAATACAGTGTAACACAAATAGGCAATATATTGTAGATGTTTCCCCATCAACCTGATCGTAGATATTACAAACCTCTGGAGCAAATGGGACTTGAACCCAGGCCTCCTGGTCCAGTGGTAGGACAATGTATTGTATACAGTTCAACAATTCTAGTTTAATAGTGCGTAGCAACAATACAGAAGAAAATAGACAAAAATGTATGTTGCCTTACCCCTTTTTAGATTAGCTTAGCTGAATAGTTCATTTTTTATTAATAAAATATCATATTTTGCCAGATGTTCATAATGATGCAGTATACATAATAATTATTGAAACTGTTTAATGCATTTAGGGTATGGTAGTATAGAGTGTTAAGTCAGTGCGGTGTTAAATCTGAAATAAAAACAGACATTGCTGGAAAAGCTCAGCATATCTGGCAGCATCTGTGATGCGTAATCACAGAATTAACGCTGATTTCTCTTTACAGATGCTGCCTGACCTGCTGAACTTTTCCAGGAACTTCTGTTTTTGTTTCTGAATTACAGCATCCACTGTTAGCTTTCATTTGGTGTTAAATCTGGTTGACTATGTGCTCTGGAAGAGGGCTATTGAATCTCCTGGGCAATTTTTAAGTGTACATAGCTCCAATATAAATGCTACGTGAGGACTGGGGGATAACAGCCATTATCCCACCTCTTACCCCACCCCCTGCCTCAAAAAAGACAAATGCCTCCAGCTTACTTTGTAGATATTTAAATATCCAAATATTCAAAAGGGAACTTTGTGTGCGTATATATCAAATCTGACACAGAGAGCTCTTTCCTAAACATGACAATTACATTTCTGCCAAGTAGAAGCACAGCGATGTAAATAGAGCCCTGGCAACTGAACCTAAACTGCAATTGTTAGCTTGGACCAGCAGTTACAATATAAAAGTGGTGCAGGATCTGCCTTTCTATTGCTTTCCTATCCTCATGCTACCTCCCTCATTGGTCCAATTTTGTCTCAGAATTAAAGTTCCTTCCACTCCCCAGTAAGTGAATCAATTAATCAAGGTTAGTGCTTTTTTTTAAAGAATGAAGATCAAGTCCACTAACAGTGCCATTTCCCAGGATTGTTTCACATCAACTCTCGTGGCAAAGTGTCAACTGGCACTCACTTTCGAACAAGCCTCTGAATTTCACGAACCAAAGCCTTTGGCATGCAGAATTTAGATATTTAACTATTTCCATTCTGATTAATACTGAATGTTGTTTAACTATTTCAATTCTGGTTAATACTAATCTGGGGCAACAAATAAATCTGGATAATTTAGTAGGAAGTGTTCAATGGATAAATTATTTCACTGCTGAGTTAATAGTTATGACTCAATATTAGGAAATAACGAGATGAAAGTACAGTGAGACACAGTTCAGTCGTACGGCGATAGAATCCTGCCATTTACATCACTGTAATCAAACCACTTTTGATGCATAATTAAATTCACATCATGCTGAAAAATAAACAAGAAATTTTGACAAGAAAAAAGCAGTAAACTTTCAAAATACGCTCCATTGAAGCATAGGGCATCAAAAATTCCAATGCAAATATTGACAATCGAGCTAATAAAGCAAATCATTCCCATATACTTCTCGCTGTTGGCGGTTTTGGGGAACTTGGAAAAATTCACTTGAAAACTGCACAGCGATGTTGCTGTCACCTCTAGACATCAAGCAACTCGGTGCTGTCAATATGCCACAATTGTGCAACATGCCTCTGGGGCTGTTTGACTAATTATTGAAGCTGACTGCTAGGGGCTTGAATTTCAATCCAGGGTCAGGAACTGGGCATCCCCATTGTCTCTGGGCCCTGAACCCTCAATGCATCTGCACCACTCGGGACATTATCCTTTAATGTAATTACATTCGAACCAAGCATTATTATGGGCAGGGAATCCTGCACAGCACAATGTCAGAAGAGAGGAGGCAGATGTTTGAGAGTACAATACCCTCATTGCTCAGAGAAATGGCCAAACAATTGAAACGTTTGCACCAGAACTCTCACACAAACCTCCGGTTGTTAAAATTATTCATAATTTTGGATGTGAATATAGGAGGTATGATTAGTACATTTGCAGATAACACCAAAATTGTTGGTGCGATGGACAGTGATGAAGGTTATCCCAGAGTACAACGGGACCTTGATCGGATGGGCCAATGGGCTGAGCTGTGGCAGATGGAGCTTATTTAGATAAATGTGAGGTGTTGCATTTTGGTAAAGCAAACCAGGGCAGAACTTATACAGCTAACAGTAGGGCCCTGGTAAGTGTTGCTGAAAGGAGAGACCTAACGGTGCAGGTACCTAGTTCCTTGAAAGTGGAATCGCAGGTAGATAGGGTGGAGAAGAAAGCAATTGGCATGCTTAGCTTCATTAGTCAGTGCATTGAGAGTAGGAATTGGGACATCATGTTGCAGCTGTACAGAACATTAGTAAGGCCACTTTCAGAATACTGCATTTAATTTTGGTCTCCCTGCTACAGGCATGATGTTATTAAACTTGAAAGGGTTCGGAAGACATTTACAAGGATGTTGCTGCGATTGGAGGGTTTGAGCTACAGAGAGAGGCTGAATAGGCTGGGGCTTTTTTCCCTGAAGTATCGAAGGTTGAGGGGTGATGTTATAGACGTTTATAAAATTACACAGGGCATGGATAGGGTGAATAGCCAAGGTCTTTTTCCCTAAGGTGGGGGAATCCAAAACTAGAGGACATAGGTTTAAGGTGAGTTGGTTAGGGTTTAAAAGGGACCTAAGGGCAGCTTTTTTGCAGAGAGGGTGATGCATGTATGAAATGAGCTGCCAGAGGAAGTGGTGGAGGCTGGTACAATTACAACATTTAAAAGGCACACAGATGGGTATATGAATAGGAAGGGTTTAGAAGGATATGAGCCAAATTCTAGCAAACAGGACTAGATTAGCTTACGATATCTGGTCGGCGCAGACAAGTTGGACTGAAGGGTCTGTTTCCATGCTGTGTAAGTCCACGACTCTATCAGAAAAAAAATTAATTAAATTGTTCCCCACTTTGAACCTGCTGAATATGCAATAAGTTGCACCAGGCTGTTTCAGTTTCACTATTACTGATGCGAAAATGACCTTGCTGACCCGTGAACAAACTCCTTGATGTGCTTAGCAGGCCAGTCACTGGAGCTATGTTGGTTTCCAGCTCCCACCAATCCGTTCCCATTCCTCACTTTGAAAATCTAACCACATCCCAGACACCTTCTGCAAGCTGATACACCAGCTGGGAGTGCCATTTTCAAAGTGCACCCACACCCATTCACTGCTCCCATTCTTAAAGGGGCTTGAAAATCAGAGTGTAGAGTTTGGATACTTTAAGTTTATAACTGATTCCTGGTTAAATTTGAGTTTTCTTTTTAGCCTATCTAATTATTTGGAGAGCTTGAATTTTAGGCTACTTTTGAATTTTGTTCCTACTTACAGGCAGTATGTTTTACTGGACAGCTTGTTGTTAAGCATTAATCAATGCCATCAAGGCACCTTTCAATTCAGCTTCACTTTCATCCCTTTCAGATTTCCACGCCTTGGAAAACCCAAGAATCAATACTTGAGCAATGGTTAAAATGATAACATCAAAATAACCAGCCTGCAGACAGTGAATGGATTAATGGCATGTCTCTTGCCTCACCTGAACGAAAACTGCAGTAGGGCCAGTTGGAAGGGAATTAATTCCTAATTTCAGAATTTTGCAGTTTTAACCACTGACCTAAAATCAACCCATCATTTTTTTTTTGTGGATTAAGATTTGGCCCATTTTGCGCAGTATTGCCTAACATTGAGCATCATTGAAAGCCATTTGGAAGAGTTTCTGCATTATTTGAATAAGATCAGACTCCAAGGGTGAAAACAATGACTCTCAAATTCATGAGATAACAAAGTGTAGAGCTGGATGAACACAGCAGGCCAAGCAGCATCAGAGGAGCAGGAAAGCTGACGTTTCAGGTCTGGACCCTTTTCTGAAGAAGGATCTAAGCCCGAAACGTCAGCCTTCCTGCTCCTCTGATGCTGCTTGACCTGCTGTGTTCATCCAGCTCTACACCTTGTTATCTCAGATTCTCCAGCATTTGCAGTTCCTACTATCTCTGAAACACTCTCAAATTCTTGGCAGTTTTTTCCTGATCCTGGCAAATGATGTGGACGCTGATTCAAATTTGTTACTTTTGCTTGAGTTTCTTTGTGTATCTTCTTATGTTCAATTTTCGCTCTTCATAGAAGTGCCTGCAGCTGATGTACGTGCCTAAATTAAACATAGGCAAAAGCAACAAAAAATTACAACTACTGCATTAGGGGAGAAGTGTATAATTGGAGCATTACTGTCAGTGCTTGTTTAATAGGAGCATTTAGGAAGGTTGAAGACTTGACAACCGAACTACAGCAAAGTATTGAGTTTGGTTTTAAAAACAGTAACATGCATTCTCAAACTGGATTCAGTCTTTTTACATTGCTTTTAAATGCATTTTAAAGGAAGGTGGCTACGGATGTATACTTGATGCAGGACTGTTGGGAGGTCCATGTCATTTCCACAGGGTGGCCTGAAGCTACTTAAAAGGGTCTGTTTCCATGCTGTATGACTCTATGACTTTATCAGTGCCCTCAGGTACTGAGGTGGCCTGTTTCTACCCCCCTGCACCCCCTCCACAGTGGGATGGAAATTGGGGTCAATGATTGCTAATGTTGAAGCTCCAAAAACTACTACAGGGTGGTCATTGTAGGGTAGGTGGTGAACAGAGCGGGCAAGGGGCTTGAGGCAAGAGGGGCTTTCTTTTAACATGGCCTCTCTCCTTTCCGATGCCAGATTCTTTAATTGGGCTATACCATGATAAACCACCCCAACGTCTCCACAAAAAGAATGCATTAAGAATAATGTGCACAATGTGTTTACATCCCCATAGAGTCCTTTCCAAAATTAGCCACAGAATCATAGAAACCCTACAGCGCAGAAGCAGGCCATTCAGCCCATCGAGTCCACACTGACCCTCTGGAGACCATCCCACCCAGACCCACCCCCCAACTCTGTCCCTGTAACCCTGCATTCCCCATGGCTAATCCACCTAGCCTGCACATCCCTGGTCACTGTGGTCAATTTAGCATGGCCAATCCACCTAACCTGTACATCTTTTCACTGTGGGAAAAATCCAGAGGAAACCCACGCAGATGCAGGGAGAAAGTGCAAACTCCACACAGACAGTCACCCGAGGCTGGAATCAAACCCAGGTCCCTGGCACTGTGAGGCAGCAGCACTAACCATCGAGCCACCGTGCCACCAAAGCTTTTTCTCTAGATCAGGGCAGATGCTAGATTGCCAAATTTCAAAAAACAGCAACATTTTACACAGCATGAGAAAATGGTACTGATAGATTTGCAAGCTGACTGTGGTTGAGGCATTGCCAGTAAGAATGCATCAGAGAACATTATTCACCATTCTGCTTTTGAATCGATGGCTGTGAAGTGAATGACAGTTACACAAGGATTACTAACACTGTTCAAAGCCATGGCCCATTTCTGAAGAAGGGTCCCGACCCGAAACGTCAACTTTCCTGCTCCTCTGATGCTGCCTGGCACATTTGGTCAAATTGGCTTCAAAATCACTTTTGGTATTCCATTATAATTGTGTAAAATTACGAGCATTCTGTCTTTTTGCCATCTTGAACTTTTGATTTGTTTGTACAGCTACTTTTATAAACTTAGAAAAAGGACTAGTTTTGACTTACCTATAACAAGTATTGGACAGTACAGTTGCAATACATATGGGAAATGTATTGGCACAGCAATAGGTTTAGGTAACTGAAAGGAATAGGTTCCCAGAGCTTCAAAGTATGGCAGCGACTGGTAAATGGCAATTACTGGAATATAAGAAATATTTTGTTAGTAACTTCAACACTAAAATCTTGAAGAAGCTGAAGATGTGTATACAGAATTATCTTGTGGCTTTTGTTTTATTAACCAAGTACCTCCACGGTATTTGTAACATTATCGTATGGCATCTAATTTCCCAATTTACTATGATGATGTAGAATGAAGAAATGCTGGTCAGTACGTGGCTTGGTTATTTCAGACGCTCAGTGTGTTGGAGCATTGATTAGGCAGTTTATTGCTGTGCTACCCCATGTGGTGAACCAATCTGTGTCATGCATTTCAAGAAACATAAAATAAAGGCTTTGGAGTTCCCTAAGGGCAGATACTTTAAAAAAAGTCAGAGGGACAGCCACCCCAGGCTGGGTGCAGTAATCTGATTTAGAGCATCAGGCACAACTAAGTTAAAAGATTTGTACAAATTCCATGTTGCATATTATGGGTACTGAGCAACAGCGCGTATTTGAAAATGCCTATCACCTCTCAACACTCCGATTGAGATTCTGGCCAGAGTTAAAGGATGAAAGTCTTGTCACTCAGAGTCACAAATGAGTTGTGACAGACTCCACCCAGTTTCCAGTCAAAATAAATCCACACTATTAAAACTGCTTTGAATGGACTGCGAAATATGACAAGTCTCATCTGACAGGCCCAGACTGTGGAGAATTGAAATGTCATGCTTGTGTAGAGCACACCTCTGAAGCTAAGGTTGAAAAGCAATCATGTTGACAGCACAGCTAAACAAGTGGAAAACCAAACTGCATAGCAACACTTGAGACACAGTCAGTGGTTGCAACAGCAATTAATAAAAATGTAACTTGTCTCATTTACTTTATTTTCTGTTGAAGATGCCATCTCCTCTGATTCTATCTATGATTAAGGAAGTCACACTGTCAATATCATCTTCAAATTCAGTCATACTTTCTTAACCAATTTGCCAGCTCGAAAGTCAGAAGGAGCATTTGTGTCATTTTCTTCCCTCCACCATTGAGATCACACTTGTCAGGTTTTATCGCAAATATGCACGTTCACATTAGCCATTCTTATCAGTGAGATGACATATCGTACAGCTTCAGAGTTCAAATTTAGTTTTCTGCACAAACCACTCAATAATGAGTCACAATTCCTACATCACCGTTAAATTAACGACAGTAAATTGCCAACCGAGTTTAAACAGACAAGCATCATCGGCTTTGATAGTTAATCATCTCTAATTAATCTTTCTGCCACTTATCCATCATTCTCTCCTCTTTATAAAATTAAGGCGCAGAGAGGTTTGTTATGCATTTTCAGCTTTGTTGGTACAAACATTTTGCACACAGCTAAGAGTTACCTAATCTCCCGGAAGAGGAGAGAAACAGATGAAAGTACAGGCACTTTGGGGGTAATAGCATGACAATTCTCTCCAGTCCTCCTGAGCCATTGAGTCTAGTCCAGGCAACAGCCTCAGCCCTGATTAAAATTACAAGGCACCTCTTGTATGAGGCAACTTTTGCCAAAACAAAACAAAAATAGGTCACACTCTTGCTTTCGGCATTGGCCAGGTGGTAGGGTGGTCGCTGACGCAGCCCAAGAAACCTGGGCACTGGACCAGCTGAAAACCAGACTGTCTAAGGCCGTGCGAATGGCCACCTTAAATCTGCAAACTTGTTGCAGTAGACAGAAGGAATGGTCGCAATTAACATTCAGTGAGGTGAACCCATCAACAACAACAGTGCCTGAGGCTAGACCCGAGGGTATCTGGGCAGAGGGTGACCAAATGTTTCTGTGCCAGGCTGGCCAGGAAAGAGCAAGCCACTGGTACCTGATGGTTCATCACAGGGACACAGCAAGTCTGTATGAGGCAGACAGAGAATCTGATTTAGCAACCATTTCAATTGCCACCAACACAAAAGTAAAATTATAGTTCATAAAGGTATCCTGTAGTGGATGGGGTACAGACCTGCTGGAAAACCTGACTGCCCATTTGGAAACTCAATGAAATCACTTTCCCGTCAACATGAGCAGATAGCCTGTTCCACATGGTCATGTTTCTCCAGGAAAAGAAGGTATCCCTGACTTTACACAATTTACAAATGCATCCCCAGTTCTCTAACCTATTTGGTTGAAACAATTATCTAAACCAACAACTTGAAAAGGTTCAGAAAACATTTACAGTATGTTGCCAGGCTTGGAGGGTTTGAGTTATAGGGAGAGGCTAAATAGACTGGGAATGTTTTCCCTGGAGTGCAGGAGACTGAGGGGTGACCTTGCTGAAGTTTATAAAATCATGAGGGGCATGGATAGGGTGAATAGCCAAGGTCTTTTCCCCAGGGCAGGGGAGTCCAAAACTGGAGGGCATAGGTTTAAGGTGAGAGGAGAATGATTTTAAAGGGATCTAAGAGGCAACTTTTTCACACAGAAGGTGGTGCTGTATGGAACGAGCTGCCAGAGGAAGTGGTAGAGGCTGGTACAATTACAACATTAAAAAGGCATCTGGATGGGTATATTAATAAAAAGGGTTTACAGGGATATGAGCCAAATGTTGGCAAATGGGAGTGGAGAAATTTAGGATATCTCGTCAGCATGGACAAGTTGGACCAAATGGTCCGTTTCCCTGCTGTACATCTCTATAACTCTACAACTTGACATGCACTTTCAGCTTTGCTGATACCTCTACTTCTCACCCAGCCCAGCGTTATATAATCTCTTGGAATAAATGTTGTGGTCCTCCTCTGCACTTTTCACAAAGCTTCAATATCATTGAGTATATGAGGGAGAGGACTTGGACAATATATTCTAACAGAGGCTTACAAAGGTGTTGTATTGGCAGAAGCTTAAGACTGTGCCTCTAAGTTGCCTTTAGTGAGGCATAGTCATTACCCCAAAGAGACTACACTAGTGATAAAAGAGGGAAAAAAAGTAGAATTGAAAAAAAGCACAAACATCTTCTAGAATCTATGTAACACTATAATTCAGGTTTACATAAGGTAATATGGTGAGTGAGAATAATACCTTCAGTCAGCAGTATTGAAGGCAAAAGAGGAATCCAAAGGCAATGATGAATCCATGACAATGTATACAAATCAGTTCCTACGATAGATAACATGCGATGTGGATACCTGCAATTTCAAGAAAATAATACGCTTGTAACTTTAAAACATTTTTAAATAATTAAATGCTCAATCAATGATCAATCGATGATCATTTTACAGATTGCTCATTTAATTACAAAGTAACTGAAGTTTCAATTTTACATGAAAGTCATCCAAGTTTCAGGATTGTTTTTCATTTGAAAGAGACGCTGTCACCGAGGTTGAAATGTTTTTCACATATCACGGAATTTGAATGAATGCATAAACAGCTGACTTATGTATTACAGAGCCACCTCTGTGTCATTGTACATGAATCTCAAAAGGTCAGCATATCAGCAGTCTATAATATTAAACTGTTCAAGTTCAGCTTCTTGATTCCTTGACATGGAATAGATTTAGAAAAGGGAGAATGTTCAAAGTAAACCAGACACCAAACAGTCAGCTGCAATAAAAAGCACACAGCCAAAGCCAAGTATTTTGCTACTTGCGCACATCACTGGTAGGAAACAAAGAAGATGGAATATTTTTGAATGCTGAATGTTTTTTGAAATTGTCCTTTATTAAAAAGGATGGGGGCCAATTAGCTCTGATGGCAGGATGGCTGGTTTTCAGTGCAGAGTGATGTGAGTTCAATTCCCCCATCAGCTGAGGTTACTATGAAAGACTCTCCTTCTCAACCTTTTCCCTCACCTAAGGCATAGTGACCCTCAGGTTAAACCACCACTAGTCATCTCTCTCTCTAATGAGTGAGCAGCCCTATGGTTTGGTCAGACAATGGTAATTTTACCTTTACTGTAATGAGGTTGCTGCATCTGAGTGGCATGTATAAATTAAACTTGCTGCAGAAAATTAACTCTTGTCCATTTCACTCTAAATAGACCACAAGTTTTATTTGCTGCCAGTTAACCTCTTTGGGATTTAAAATTAACTAAGCATGGTGTCTAACTCTCTCCACTTCCAATTCTCATGGAGTCATACAGTCATACAGCACAGAAATGGAACCTTTGGCCTACCATGTTCATGTCAACCAAGCTATATACGTTTACCGCACTGGGTTCACAGCCTACTATGCCCTGGTGTTGTAAGTGCTTGTGCAAGTGCTTCTTAAATTGCTGATAGGGTTAGGTGACAGGCAAGAGGGCTTGTTTGTAGCATAAACACCAGCATAGAGAAACTGGGCGTAATGCATTTCTAATGAATTAATACTTCTTGTTTCTATGCTGGAAGCTTTGAATTGGAAGCCAATTCACTCCACGCAAAGCTACCCCAGAGCAATAACATGCAATGGGCAAATTACTGGGACTCCTGCCCTGAGGTTGGGAGAAAGTCCTGCCCAGAGGAGCTGCTGGACAGATCCATCACTCTCAGGAACACTTGAGGTTAGTTCTGAGAACAACAAATGCTGGAGATCACAGCAGGTCAGGCAGCATCCATGGAGAGAAAGCAAGCTAACATTTCGAGTCTAGATGACTTTTCATCAGAGCTTCAGCATCTGCAGTAATTTGCTCCTACTAGGTCAGTACTGAGCACTGCCGGTACTCCAGGAGGTGGTCAGAGGAAACTCAAGGATAAGGATTTAGGGCGTCAATCCAGAGAAGGGAGGTGGTTGGGGTGAGGGACCTGGTTCTGTCAGGCAGGCAGTGCAGAAGGAAGGGGGACTGGCATCTTGAAGGGCTTCCCCCAATATGCGTTGGGCATCCCTCTAAGTCACGGGCATTTCCTTCCTTCCTACATTTGGTCATGCAGGCCTTTTAAAACAGCTTGGCCATTATTGCCTTACTGCTCATGTCAGCCTTGCCTAACATTCAGGCCCTTTGGCTTTTTAAGAAACCTCATTAACCTTTAATTTTTGTTTAAAAATGGCAGATAAATCTATGTTAAGACCAGGATCGGTTTAGCCAACAGCTCATGTCTCCAACGTTCCGAATGTCTGATCCACAGTAGTTGCAGTAACAATGCAGGACATGGTAAATCCATGGAAATGATGGAGATAGAGAGGTTCTTGATTAGTCAGGGGATTGAGGGTTACAAGGAGCAGGCAGGAGAATGGGGTTGAGAAAGATATCAGTCACGATCGAATGGCAGAGCAGACTTGATGGGCCGAATGGGCTAATTGTGCTCCTGTATCTTATGGTCTAAAACCATTAACGTGAACTCTAAACTTTTCCTGGAAAATACTGAGGATGTACTCACTTCAGGACTTTCTCAGGGTTCCAAGGCTTGTGGGTTGAGTCAGAGACCTCTCCCCATATCAGAAGATTTGGGCCATCATTATTGACAAACTTAACTAGTGGCAGAAAATGATCAACACTCATCACCCACACTTACCCACATGTCATGTGGCACCTTGCCAAAATGCATGCATGTCTGTGGTTTTGTAAGATAAGTAAGCAAAACTTGCACATTTTGAAATGTGGTTTTGTGAAGTCATTATCTTTAATTTCTGCATCAGTCTTCATAAAGTAATCAAAAATTCATCCAGTGACCCAAAACATTAACTGTACTTTCTCTCCACAGATGCTGCCTGACCTGCTCAGGTTTTCCTGCAATTTCTGATTTAGTTTCTGAATTCTAGCATCTGCAGTTCTTTATTTTCTTTTCATAAAGTAAGCATTTACTCACTGTCAATCTAAATTATCAGAAGCTCCAATGCATTGGTGTTAAGTAAACTAAAGAAGTAGAGGGATTGTAACAAAAACAAATCTGTGAACCGTTATGAGGAAGGGTCACCAGACCCAAAACGTTAACTCTGTTTTCTCCTTCACGGATGCTGCCAGACCTGCTGAGCTTTTCCAGCAACTTTGTTTTTGTTCCTGATTTACAGCATCCGCAGGTCTTTTGGTTTTTATTTAGAGGGATTGTAAGATAGAAATGCTTAGGACAGAGGTATGGGTTAAATCCCCACTAATACAGATGGCGATGACACTTGCCTGAAAGTCAAAATTATCAGGGAATTTAAGGGTTTGAAAATAGCATGGTCAATGTTTTAACAGTATGCCACCAATTGGTGGAAGATGACAAGGGGTTAAGCTATCTGAATCAAGCAACCTAATATATTTGTCGCCTTCCTTTAAGTTCTGAAATACAGAAATCAAGCCAATGATGAGCTTCCTACTAAAGGCAGGGCAGTAGTCCGATAACATAATCGGTGCGTAACTTGATTTCACTTTGAAGGGGTGGTTCATGTTGTGGGATCCCAAGCAATGATCCAAGTAGAAGCTGCTGGCTCCCAGAGTAAATAGCTGTTTTAACACACCCTATGACCCAAGAATGCTGTCTCTCATGCCTATTAAGAGAAACGTTTGCCTTCTGTCTATTCTGACACCAGTCTCACTAAAGCCCTCTCAATCTCCAGCCTGTGCTCAGCACCTCTCAATCTCCAGCCTGTGCCCAGCACCTCCCAATCTCCACCATGTGCCCAGAACCTCCCAATCTCCACCATGTGCCCAGCACCTCTCAATCTCCAGCCTGTGCCTAGCACCTCCCAATCTCCACCCTGTGCTTAGCACCTCTCAATCTCCATGTGCCCAGCACCTCTCAATCTCCACCATGTGCCCAGCGACTCCCAATCTCCCCCATGTGTCCAGTCCCTCCCAATCTCCAGCCTGTGTCCAGTGCCTCCCAATCTCCAGCTTCGGCCTATTCAAAGATTCTCAAAGGGTGAGGCAAATATGGGCCAGAGATTGGGAGTTGCTGGGCAGAGGCTAGAGATTGAGAGGGCTTCAGTGAGACGAGCGATCAGAATGGATGGCAGTGCCGGCCAAACCCAATAGAACTCAAAGGAGAGGACAGCTGCTGTGGTGAATCAGTCAAATGCTGCTATGGTGACTGAGTCCACAAAATGCTCACTGTTAGATGAAGAGATCAATGGTGAGCAAGTATGACCCAGTATTGTTTGGAGGCCAAGAACCGACTAACTGAAGCATCACTTTGATTTTTTTTCTGAAGAAGGGTCTAGGCCCGAAACGTCAGCTTTCCTGCTCCTCTGATGCTGCTTGGCCTGCTGTATTCATCCAGCTCTGCACCTTGTTATCTCATCACTTTGAAGTTGTGCTTTATGAGCTTTCTTTTCTTGATAGCAGCCTGCAGAAATTTCTTCTGCTCTGTACAAATCTTAACAGAAATTTCACCCAGTAGGCTAATGGTCATTCATACTGCCCAGTTACTCACTTGATTACATCGAGGGTGCTCCAGAGGGAAAACAAGCCCCAAACTGTAGGTTTAGCCTGCATCTCCTCTTGACTGGTGATGACCACAAAAAGGATTATGTTCCTCTCGGTAACCTGAAAATATACACCAGTAACACTGGCTATAACTCTGTGAGCTTCATAAATGTTAGTGCTTGCACATGAAGTTCACACAAATGATGTGCTAATTTGAAATAAGGATAACCATCTTATCACACATTTTGTTTATATTTATCACATCTGTTTCTCTAGCTGCTTTACACCATATTAAACGACATGTCTGAAATTTGGCTAAAATATGAAACAGAAACATAGAATATAGGAACAAGAGTTGGCTATTCAGCCCTTCAACTCTGTTGAGCAATTCAATATGACCATCCAATTCCACACCCTGTTCCGGCTTTCTCCACAGACCCTTTAGTCTTAAGAACCAAAACTGACATATCGTTGGAAGCATTCATTATTTTGACTTCAACTACTTTCTTTGGCACAGAATTCCACAGGCTCACCACCGTCTTCATTTCTCCTCATCTCAGTTCTAAATGCCTGCCCCATATCCTTAGGCTGTGCAAATTGTTGACGAAGGGCAGTAGGAATTGTTATTAAACTGAGGCAGACCAGCAGGGACAAAACTGATTCAAATATTAAAGAATCAGTAATAATAAATATAATTTAATTAGACCCTGACCTGATCTTTCCAAACAGTTCCCAGGAAAACATCTATGCAATCAGCTTCACAGGTTGTGGTAGAATATGTTGTGATGAACTGGCAGGAAGATCAGTAAAAAAGGGCACCGATTTATAATAATTGGCAAAGGCATCAGTGTGGAGATGAGAATTTTTCTAAAGCAATGAGTTATTGCATCTGCAATGCATTACCTAAAAGGGTGGTGGAAAAAGGTTCAAGAGAAACTTCTACAGAACACTGTGAGTTAAAGCAGAACAGTTGTGGGAAAAGAGCAGGAGAGTGGAACTAATTGTATCTCCCAACCAATGGGGGTTAGTACAAGCATTATCAGCCTCTTTGTGTGCAGTGAGATTCTATGATTGCATAATATTATGTGATTGATAAAGTATTACACAATATAAATTTTAATTTTTGAATCATTATGTACATGTTGCCAGAACAAGCAGGAATGCTTTTTCTTATGTCATAGCGTCATATAGATATACAGCACAGAAACAGACCCTTCGGTCCAACTTGTCCATGCCAACTAGATACCCTAAATAAATCCTATCCCATTTTACAGCATTTGGCCCATATGCCTCTAAATCTGCATTTCTAACATATACCTCCTTTAATACATAAAGCCTTATTCCAATATTATCCAAGAACTTGGCTACCATATTGTTCAGTCAAAGTTCCCATCTGAGGAATGTCATCCATGGAATAAAGAAACAGAAATCACAATTTCACACGGGGAAGAATAAACTGATTTATTTGAGCTTATAAATCCTACCTGCACAAGTCGTGGAAGAAATGGACTCTGTTCAATGCCTATCAGTATATGAATCAATTCCAGGATTGATAACAATTGGCAGAAACTCATCACAGTCCCAATCGAATGGTACGTGTCCACCAGACTGTCTTCAATGAAACCACAAGAGATAAAATATTGTTATGATCTAGTTTCTCCAATCAGCTGTAATGAAAAATATCATCCAAAATTGCTACTCTTTATTCCTTGCTGCTTGGTTGCAGTCATGCAGTGTTAGAAGCTGGGCAGTGAATTGATTGGGCTCTCTACCAAGAGTTAGCATATATTCAGGGACCTGAGTTAGCTAAGAGTGCAAACTACAAACTGGCACATATTTTGACTTGGATTCTGCTGCTGATATCCATTTGATTCAGTGCTGTCAGCAATTCTTTTAATAAATCAATTGACTCTCACTTCCTCGTGTCTATCAACATGCAGTGGGGCCCAGGAATACATTAGCAGACCCTCTGCTATCCTTTGGAATGAATCTTCATATCTCACACACGTAGCACAAGAATATCTTTGATCCTTAATGGCACACAAAAATAAATTATAACATGGATTAAAGAAAGGCGCTATCTTCCCAATAGTACTTGTTTCAATTTCTGACACAGATTCCCTTCACTCTTGATTTATTCAATAAATTGGTAGTAGGACAGCCTCTCTCAGCCCCTCTACTGTGGATTAAGGAACTAGGATGGAATGGAGATCATTATACATACCAGGTGGAATCCTTCAGAATTTAGTCCCCATGCTTGGTCAACAAGGCACATCAACTCTGGAGATTGTCACATCCTACCCAGACAGCATCACAATCAAAGCTCTGCTCAAACCCACTGAATACTGATGCAGTGCTCATGTCTAGCAAGTGTTGGTTAGTCTTCGTATCCAGAACCAAGCTGGCCAGGCGGGCGGCTATCCTTCACCAAGCTGGACATGAACCATGCGTACTTGCAATTTCAGTCAGATGAGGATTCCCAGAAGTATGCTGCAATTAATACCCATAAGGGTTTGTACCAATATACAAGATTGACACTTGGGGTATTATGAGCTTGTGTAATTTTTCAGCAGATGATGGAGAACATTTTACAAGGTCTATTTCAGGTCGCCACTTATCTAGATGACGTGCTAATAACGGGGAAGGCCAATAAGGAGCACTTAGAGAACTTGTACATATTCCTTAGATGTTTCTCCCAGGCAGGTGTATGCCTTAGAAAGGAAAAATGTGTGTTCCAGGCCCCCTAAGAGACCTACTTGGGCTACAGAGTCAACAAGACTGGGTTACACCCGTTGGAAGATAAAGCGAGGTTGAACAAAGGTGTCCCAGCTCCCACGTCCGTACCAGAGCTTAGGTCTTTCCTTGGGTTGGTGAATTATTATGGAAAGTTCATACATAACCTGGCCTCCATCCTGGCACCTTTGCATCAACTCTTCAAAAAGAGCCAGCCTTGGAAATGGATATGTATCCAAACCATCACTTTTAGGGAAGTGAAGAAACAGCTATCATTCTCTAAAATGTTGGCACTCTATGATCCCAAGTGAGATCTGGTGTTGACACGCGATGCCTCCCCATAAGGCATCAGGGTAGTATTAGCTCATAGGTGGCCCAATGGAGAGGAATGCCCAAAGCGTCTGCACCCAGGACTTTGGCTGATGCAGCACGTTTTTATGCCCAGATAGAGAAGGAAGGTTTGCCGATCATATTTGGAGTCAGAAAGTTCCACCAATACCTTTACGGACGTGAATTTGTCCACAAACACCTGCTTGCTCTACTTAAAGAGGACAAGGCAGTGCAGCCCATAACTTCAGGCTGAATTTAGTGGTGGACTCTAATACTAAGTGCGTATAAATACAAGTTGGAACACTCTCTGGGGAACCAAGTAACAAATATGGATGCATTGAGTACCTCTCATTGGCAGATACACCACCGGTGGTACCACCATTGGAAGAGTCCATAACAGTTTTAAATTTTCTCCACACACACTTCTAGTCACAGCTGACAATATCAGACTTTGGACGCAGAAAGATCCGGTCCTGGCAAAACTGAACCAGCTGGTGGTGATGGGGGAAACCAAAGGGCCGTCACAACCAGAAATGAAATATTTTTAGACTCGGTGAGACCAGATCACAGCGCAGGATGACATATTGCTATGGGGAGCAAAAGTGATTGTCCCGAGCAAAGGTCGCCACCAGATTCTGGGTAAATTCCACCAGGATCATCCAGGGGTTTCCAAAATGAAGATGTTGCCGAGAAGTTTTGTCTGGTGGCCAGGATTGGATGCAGACATTGCTGTGTTTGTGGGGCAGTGCCAGAGTGGGAACAAGGACAAACATTACTGTCAACAGTACCCCCACGTTCATGCGAATGGCTGGGTAAAAACCTGGACTCAGTTACATGTTGACTATGGAGGTCCTTTCATGTGGTCAATTTTCTTAGTTATTGTGAATGCCCAATCAAAATGGCCGGATGAGCATAGAGTTCACTTGTCAAACACAGGAATGACAATAGAAAAACTGTGCTCAGTTCTTCTGGAAGTGGTTGGTCGCAGATAACGTGCCGTCATTTACCAGCAGGGAATTTGACTATTTCCTAAAGTCAAGTGGTATTCAATGTATAATGACAGCTCTATGCCATCCATCATCGTCTGGCAAAAAGAGCATTCCAAACTTTGAAGGCAGGCTTAAAGGAACAGCCTACAGCTTCACTAGATACCAACCTGTCCCGGTTCCTGTTTGATTATAGGGCCACTCCTCATGCAACTACAGGGGTAGCTCCAGCAGAATTTCTAAGGGGGAGAAGACTCAGCACCGGGTTAAATCCTCCCGGACCTGGGGTTAGGGTGAAACATCATCAGGAATGCTAGTGCAGGACACAAGACTTCGTTAAAACAGAACAGTCCTTACCTTCACCAAATGTTAAGAATCTGGCAGTAATGTTCGTAGATATCCATGAGTATCCACAGAACTGTATCAGATTATATGTGAAAAGATACAAGATCTTCAACCCATATCTGAGAGAAGGAAAACAAACGTAATTTTAACTTGCTTTTAGCATAGGCATTTACCTAGTGAACGTCCTCTGCACCCCCTCCAGTGCCACTGCATCTTTTCTCAAGTAAGGAGACCAAAACTGCACACAGTACTCCAGGTGTGGCCTCATCAACAGCCTATACAGCTGCAGCATAACCTCCTTGTTTTTAAACTCCATCCCTCTAGCAATGAAGAACAATATTCCATTTGCCATTGGAAATATTGCTTTGGTTTGCCATTGCTTTCTGTGAGCTAGCAGACCAGGGGAATACCCCACTCTTATTACCTACCATCAGGCTGATAATCAACCTGTTTGGCGACATTTGGCCATTATGTCCTGGCAGGCAACCTAACCCTCGAGATTCCAGTCTTGAGGTAGTGATGTCAGCACAGCACCACAAGACCTCCTGTTCAAACAGTGGGTAGGCTAAAAGATAATAAAAAGAAGGTTTTAGAAAGTACTTAAAAGTCAATGCATCATCAGAACTGCATCAGATGCATTCAATCATATCAAGTGAAGTAAGGGTGGAAACTGCCCAAAACCTTACAATTCTCCTGAGATAAGGAAGTGGTGCCTGAGGACTGGAAAATTGCTGAAAAGGCTGTTAGGTTAAAGCTAGCAACTACAGACCTATTGGTTTAACAGTGGTGGTAAAATCAATCTTTTTAGGAATGATAATTCATGCCATTATTAACAGTCATGTGGACAAATGTGGACTATTATGGGGAGTTGGAGAAGTAGGGATGAGGTAATTGAACTAGTAAAACCAGAGACCTAGGCTAATGGTGTGGGAACATGGATTCAAATCGTGGTCCTCAAATATGCTTCTCAGTCAACCAGAGAATGAACTGGCACATTGGAGGTGACAATCAATATTATCCATATCTGTCTTTGTTGAGAGGAGAGGGCTGCTAAAATATTATAATTTTCCAGGATCTCACTGCTAATCTGCTGGTGTGTGGGGAGAGAGGGAAGAGATGGAGGTTTTGTACAGTGGAAACTCATTGCAAGAGGAACTTAGTTTTCTGAGTGTTCGGTGCAAGGCCCATTTCACCATTGCATCAAGCCACCACTTCTCCATTTCCAATGCTGCATTTCATCCCTGACAGCAAATAAGCCACAGCTCTGGAGATAACACAGAATAGCTGAGAAACTGTGCAACTTACACTGCCTTCAATGTAAAACTAAAACCACTCCTGCCTCATAAAGCTTTAGGATTCAGATCACATTTGTGTGCGTGCTCAATCTGAAACCGAGCTGCAGGACATCATTGGCTCCTTCCCTGAAATGTGCTGGTTTAACATTGTAGCACCATGCTGCTGGTGTGCTCCAGTAGCATGTAGCATTACTGCTGTGCGTCTATGGCTACTGAAGCTGAGTGCACGTCTTCTGCAGGCAACTCATTGATGACCTTTGAGGCCAATTTGGTTAAGCAAATGCTGTTGAAAAATATTAAAAGATACAAGGAATAATGTGAGAGCTAATTGCAGCACAAGTACTTTGGCCAAAGCTTTATTTTCTGTTACAATTTCTGTTCCTGCAGGCTATTTAACTAGTTAATGAATCCATTCACTCAAGTGTTGTTTTGTTTTCACATGCACAGTTTTATTCAACTGTCTTATCAGAAATCATTGACCATAATCTGTGATGCCAGGCATCCATGAGCATCAACCATGATTTAAAATTATTTGCACATTTAGACTTAACTTTTAATTAGCAAATTGAAAACTATGGAAGTTGGACCCAACTAAACAGGGCAAACAATGTTATATCTCCTTGCCAGTCAGATTGAAATATTGAGAAATTCACAGAGCAAGGACTCAGTAGGTAGTTAAATTAGAGAATATGAATTCAATGCACAATCAGTCAGAAAAGCAAACAAAGACAAGGAAAGAAAGGTTGGATTATGATGTAAAGAAGAAAGAAACTTAAAATTGAAAATTTAACGTTAATTTCTCCAATTTTAAACCTCCTGTGCTAATTAAAGCCTATAGGAATGAGATTCTAAATTTCTAACAGTCAATTTTCAGTGCTAGAAAGATGGATTGATTGGCAGTAGCTAACAGCTATCATGTTAAAATGGTACTTGGGAAATGGCAAGAATCAGTTTCCTGTGGCAAATTTAGTTCATCTAAATCAACATCCTGGGGGTTACCATTGACCAAACTGAACTAGACTAGCCATATAAATACTATGGCTACAAGAGCAGGTCAGAGGCTAGGAATACTGTAGGGAATAACTCATCTCCTGACTTCCCAAAACCTGTCCTAATATTTACAAGGCACAAGTCAAGAATATGATGGAATACTCCCCACTTGCCTGAATGAATGCAACTCCAACAACACTCAAGAAGCTGACAGCATCCAGGAAAAAGCAACCCGCTTGATTTTTTTTTGCATGTAGTGCCATTCAATGCAGCTACAACAACAGTTGAAGTGTTTGATTCTACCAGACCAAAGGCAGCTTGTTTGATTGGCACAAAATCCACAATTCACCTCCTCCACCACTGGTGTACTGTAGCAGCAGCATGTACCCTCTACAAGATGCACTGCAGAAATTCACCAAGGATCCTTAGAGATCACCTTCTGAAGACATGCTCCAATTTAACACTGATTCTCTGCAAGCGATTGGTTTGTCTGAGCTGGCTGGGTGGCTGGCTTGTGATGCAGAGTGATGCCAAAAGCATGGATTTAATTCTTGCACCAGCAGAAGTTACCACGATGGACGTTCCTTCTCAGCCTCTCCCCTCGCCTTAGGTTCAGTGACCTGCAGATTAAGCCATCAGCAGTCATCTCTTTGATGGGAGAGAAGACTATGATAACTTTACCTTTACCTAAACACATGACCATAACCATCTAGAAAGATAACTGCATCGGCTACATCAGAACTGCACTATCAGTAGGTTCTATTCCAAGTCACTCACTATCCTGGCTTGAAAAAATATCGCCTTTTCTTCAGTGTATCTGGTCATGATCCTGGAACTCCCTCCCTAATAGCATTGCGGGCATACCGAACAAAATGACTGCATTGGTTCAAAAAGGCAGCTCACCACCACCTCTCAAAGGCAAGCGGGCAACAAATGTTGACTCTGTATGAATAACAAAAAAAAATGTCTAGCTTACAAAGCTTTAGGGCATTTGTTGCATTTCAGTAGGGAAGCAAGCAACATGATACTGTTTACACAAAGTTGCAGCAACAAAACATGATCAGTAAAATTAGGGATTTTTAGTTTAAGTCTATGTCTCTATCCCTTGCTGAAGTTTCTACACTATTTATTCATAAATAACAACAAGTACCATTAATTTCACTATTGTCTCCATTAACATCATGGAGTATATAGCTCCTTTCCTTCTGACATCGAAGCTAAATTTTTTCAAAATCTTTCGTTAATGGAGTAATCTGAAAGGTACTGTTTCTATCATCGCAGTGCTCTACAGTACTACAAATAAAAATTCTGAAAGATATATACTTTTCAATAGCTTGCCCTCACAAAAAAAGGATATCAGTTTCAGATTTATGAGATAGTGAGTTTTGCTTTTGGCTGCATAATGTTATGTAATTATAGAACAACCTGTACAATGGCTAACCCAAAATCTGTTGCCATCCAAATGTACACTTCAGGTTCTATAACTTACAACTTATACAGGCATAGCTGGAATAGACTAAGATAGCGCAGTGTGGAGCTGGAGGAACACAGCAGGTCAGGCAGCATCAGAGGAGCAGGAAAGCCGACGTTTCAGGTTGGGACACTTCTTCAGCTGAAACATCAGCTTTCCTGCTCCTCTGATGCTGCCTGACCTGATGTGTTCCTCCAGCTCCACTCTGTGTTATCTCTGACTCCAGCATCGGTAGTTCTTACTATCTCTGGAATAGACTAACTAACTTTTTGTCAACTGGCAAGAGCACAATTGGATGCACAGCCCCTCAGGGTGTGCTGTGAATCTTTCTATTTTCTATGGTAGGCTACCTATATGTTATAGCACAGTAATTAGCACCATTCTTGACTGCAACAGTTCTACAGTGCAAGAGTTAATCAGTAATTATTTTATGTTGTTTTGGTACTGTTGCTGATAGGAGACAGTGACATTTCAAATTCTACTTCTTCAAACTATTGGTTCGTGTTTTCCAAACTATCAAAATAAAACTGCAGCTAATGGGCAGTTAAGCAACGTTGCCAGGTGAGAATGTCAAATTCAGACAGATATATTCTCCCTTGAGGCAAGAGATTGAATTCCTGTGAACAAGTATATTCAGTAGTCAATTGGAGGCTTCTCTGTAATTTAGTAACTGTTTGGAAATTCCTGGCTCTTATCTAAGTTAAAAGGAGAGACAAATTAGTTTTGTTTTTATTCATTTATTGTTCTGCTTTTGTAAAGAAGACTCTCAAATTACATGTGAAATGTTACCAATTCAAAACTTATAAAAAACGTTTATTATTCTCAACACTGTTGCGATAACTTAGTACTTTATTTTTTTTGCTTTGATGTGTACCATTAATTCACTCACATTGTTTCATCTTAGCTCAGTTTAGATCCATCAAAGTCATTAAATCAACTAAATAAAACTAGATGGTGTGCTTCATTCCTAGGATGTGGCATCTCTAGGAAAATATTGTCCACCCTTAAATTGCCTTTGAGGAGAGAGTGATGGTGAATGCTTTCCGACATCCCTGCAGCCATTTGGTGAAAGTACTCCCATGATGGGGATTGTATTCACCTGACCATATTGATGCCAGTGGTGTAAGCAGATGCAGCAGCAACACTTGAGAGGCAATTAGATATTCACATGAAAAGGCAGGGAATAGAAGGATACAGACCATGTGCAGGCAGATGGGATTAGTTTAGAATAATGTTATGTTCAGCACAGACTTGGTGGGCCGAAGAGCCTGTTCTGTGCTGTACTGTTCTATGAGTTTGGTTAGCTAAAGTGAAACAGAAATAGAGACAAGTAGCTTATTTTGGGTTCACAAGATGCAATGAG